GCGCTTTGTGCGGCACTCGTAAATTCAAACGGACAAAGGATATCGTCATCTAAATGACAGCTTTCCTCCAGCTGCCTATTCAAGACCAACATTTTGAAAACCACGTAGTGCGTTCTCCGATATTTCGTCCACGATTAGTTTGACGAACACTAATGGTGTTTTTCAAGGATTTGGTACTTTCCCCACCGACCTCGAAGACCCTTGCGCTACTATAATTATGGTTCGCGGTCAACTAACTTGAAGTTTCGTTTCAAGTCAAAATAGGTGGCTGAGGAGAGTACTTAGTTTGGTTTAATTAGATCACGCGAGATGTCTCTTGATGGGTAAAATACATTCGCAACTGATGTTTGCACTGCAGTAATATTCGTCAGCAGTTTCCATTAAATTAGGTCGATAATGACCAAATCCAGAATAGCAACTGGACGTTAATCTCCGGAATAAATCGAACAATTCCCTGAACGCTTTTTCGGCTTACATTGTACGTCGTTGTTGGTCCTCGTTCTGCTCAAAATATGGACCGGAAATGCTAGATTATTGGATATAATAATTACGGTGTGATCGAAAGATTTAATTTTTCTATGATGTTCAGCAGTTATCCGAAGATCATTCAAAACTGTGTTGACGTCAATATATACAAATGATTGAACTTGTAGAAACATCGAGAGCAGACAAAGAGAACAGCGTCAGGTCTATGTTGAATTCTGTAGGGATTTTAGAGCAATGCGATCAGCATCGAACACACCCTTATCGGTGATATTTGAAGATTTCCACTGGATCGGATCTTCCATCAACTCGAGCCAATCCTCGGCCGGTTTTAGTTTGCGCCAAACCTCATTTACCTCAGACAGCTCGGATGGAGTCCAGTCGGTAGGTGAATCCGCTGTTGACATTTTCAGCTTGCCCATATTGTGTTCAAGCACTTCGTCAGGATTGAAAATGACTAGAAAATATGAACATTAAGGAAGTTGCATAAGGCATCACTTGGAAAGATTAAATACATCAATCCCTGGACAGGAAATAGAGAGATGACAAAGAGTGATTCAACAAACATCATCATAGTGATATGAAATTCCGGATACCTCATATACTGAACTGATCAACGAGGAAGTAGCGAATGCTATGATGCACAGCATAAGACTGAGTTCTGGACAACTGTCTAAACCCTCGAAGGTCGGGGTGAGAAGTCCTTGGAGGACCGACGACCACCACAAGACGCTCCTTGTGCAGGGAACGCCTCGATATCGATGGTATGGGATGCGTGGTGAACTTATCAACACGACAATTTGGCATATTTTCCTTTTTAATAAGGGAACGACTTGGTATGGTAAAAAGAGCGAACAGGTTTTCATTGACGAAACCATGACAGGCTTAAAGTGTCTGTACACACTGAATCAGCTATGCATAATCAGTTTCGTTCTGCACCTGACGCTCCAGAGTCCAAACATCTTTTCAATTTCATGCACAGCCCAATTTTTTACAAATCACGAATACCGCAGTCCAGTATGGTATGGTGCATTGTTCACCACTCCTTCCTTACTCAATTTAGCAATGATCCTTTTATCTTATTCAATCTATAGTCATTTCACTTTCATCGTCAATATTGTGTTTGCTGCCCCACTGTACCCCCTAACCCCGAGGTTGTCTTATCTATCCCTATGGCTCCCAAATTTTTCAATCATCCTTACTAAATATTCATTTTCAGCTGCGCAGGCTAAATTTCAGTCAGTCAGTTAGTCATCAGAACGGCTGATTGTAAAACAGACTTACACCTTCCTTCTCCCACAACCTATAGATATTTCAGTTCGAAGTAAAACAACTAGACTTCACGTGAGTTTCTCACTTACATATGATGGGGTTCATCAGTTTCAAATTATACTATGATGTCCAGGTGGTCTAATGAAGGACAACACAGTGTCCGGAGTCCAAGATTAAGATTAAGTTTGAGACCCTTCTGAAGCGGATTCTTTACACTTATTGGTAGACAGCTGCACTGTCGTCCGATCACCGCAGGCATGGATCCATTGAAGACTGTCGCTCCTACTGGTCAACACCCGTGGACAAGGATAATACTCTGCTACGAGCCGGATTCTTCCTACGCCTAGTGAACCACAGCAAAGCCATCGAAAACGGATGCCCATAATATAGTGTCAACCATAGTTGCAAATCGGCCTTCGAAGCGAAAATATCAGATCGGCTCTCAGTTCAACCATCAGCCGGAGGACTCAGTGAACACTGGATGCCAATCAAGGAAGCGATCTAAATGTCAATCAGAACACAGACACTCCATTCGCAGATTCACCATTTCTATGTTCCTCGATCCGAAAGGGGCTTTCGTCTCAGTCGACCGCTCAAAACTCTGGCGCTGCCTTTCCCTGAAGGGTGTGCCCGAGAAGTTTCTTTCAATATACTAATGGCCGAAGCCGTCCGAGCTTACGGCACATTTTCGTCCGAGTTCACTACAGCAAGTGGTATTTGTCAGGGTTGCCCTCCCTCTCCGTTTCTGTTTAACTTTGTTATAGATTTAATTCTTGAAACAGTGTAAAATATTGTTAAAAGATTGGATTGGTCCAGCCCCAAACCTCATCCGGACTGCGGAAGTAGTAGAGGAGGTAGACAAATTTTGCTGTCTGGACAGCCATACCTCACCTGGCGGACGTATCACGGATGAAGTGTCGGCGCGCATACAGAAGGCTCAGTAGGCATTTGCCAAACTGAGAAATCTGTGGCACCGTCGCGACATCCGCCTGTCTGTGAGGGGTCGAGTACATGCTAGAGCACTTCGATCAGTGCTGCTCTACGATGCAGAGACTTAGCCATTACGGGAACATGGTGAAAATAGACTGTCGGTGTTCGAACACCGCTGTCTACGTCGCATTACACGAGTCTGGTGGGGAAACCGGATAAGCAACGCTGACGTTAGGCCTAGTTTTAGGTAATCGTGGTAGTCCACTGGAGGAAGTAGTCGAATTCCATAGATTACACTGGTTGGGGCATGTGCTGCCCATGTCACGGCGCGCGATGTTTACCGACGCAAGCAGCGTACGGAAAAATGTCAAGAACGGTCAGATGACAACCCGGCATGAGGGTATGAAAACCCTAACCAGGAGTCTAGGTCACACAGGTCCCGTTAGGCTCCCTAGATGGGGATCTCAAGATCATAGAAACCGGTGGTTAGAGACACTGAGTGATATGGCTAGTTCTCGCAAACGGTGGTGTTCGTGCGTTTAGTCATTATTCTTACAACCTCAGTCTATATTATTTCTCTATCATCATTTTGGCCCTGCTCTCGAAACTCCAATCTTCATTCCGTTGTTTCATTTAAATGGGAGGCCAAAAGACAGCAACTAAAACCAGCGCACAAAGTGCATAGTTAATGGTTGTAAAAACTGAACTGTCGTCGGGATGGATACCACAACCTATTTGGATCAAGTTGCTAATAACCATAAGTTATGGGGTTTTTTCCTGATTATGGGTTATACTCGTCTCGACTATAAACTAAGCCGTTCAACAGAAAATAAGTAAAATAAACACTCAATTATGTGTATAGACGTCCTTGTATTCTGCGTTTCCGTGTGCAATATTGTATTCCTTAACGGCTTCAGTTATCACTACTCCTTTCAGCGTTAGTTAGGCATGTACTCCTATGTGAAGAACGCACGATCTATCACACAATTGCATATCGATGCCTCGGTATATGCGCCGGTTTATCACCCATGTGCTATGGTGTAACTGGACCTTGAAAGATGGTCGGGCATTTACGTGAGGAGGAGCCAGTCGACGGGGTCGAGTATGTGTTTGATCATCCGATCAGGTGATTAAGCAGCCGCGCGATAGCAGCAGTGAATAAACGGTTGGCTACTGTGTGCATTTGTGTTAATGCGCATGGCATCTTACACCACGAGATGTAGATGTGCGTGCGTGAACTGCATTAATGTAACGCATGTCGAATACGTGGTTCGGAAAGCGCTGCCGTACGGACACTATCCGTATTACAAATGTATTTTGTGATACCCGCCAAAATCTATTTCTAAGAATTAACAATACGATGAGCTGAGTCGGAATAAATAAAGGATACATGCTGTGGTTGAACCGTTGTCCGAACGAAACTTTGTACTGAGCATTCTTTCGTAAAGCTGACAGTGAGTCCTGTAAGAAAAAGAAAAATTTCTTACCAAGATAGCCAACATATTTTGACAAAAACGGTGCAAAAAGAAAAGAATTCCATTTGCTCCGAATATGTCGTGGCAAAGAGCAAATCCTTCTAAAGCAATTTGAATGAAAACTAATTGCAGTAGCTGCAAACATTTTGCTCAGTTAAAGTAGAGCTCTGCTGAACAGCAGTGTTTCGGAATGTCGAATAAGCCTGGGTCAAATCTGGTAGATCTGACAACAGCGGTGTAGCATTCTACTGCATTGGTTACCACTGACAGTTCTAAGGTGAAACACAGATGGTGGAGAATACGATGAAATTGTGTGAATGTGATGCAATGCACGAAAGCCGAGATGAACAAAACTGTCACCTCTGATGTAGTCAGTTTAGACAGGTGTTATTGGTGACAATCACGCTGACCGAATGACAATCCATGTTCATTTTTATCAGTGATAAGATTTCATTCAAGCTTGTTCGTTTTTCCCTCGAAGGTCAATCAACCCACGTCCCGTTACCCGCTTACTCGTGAATTAACGAAAATAGACAATGGATAATCCTTTTAGGCTATCTAATAATATGTAAAAATGCTCTGCGGTGGGAAGAGCGCATCTGAAGGAACGGCTAGATTTTTTGGCCTGAATACGTAAAACGATGACTTGCGAGCTTTAATGTAGACGTCATTTATGCTGTGGTGCCATGAAACATTGTGTGAAACAGCCGTCTGAAAGCTGATTTCTATCATGACACGTATGATACCCTGTTTGGTGTTCATGCACAATGCAGGCACAAAGTGGCAACATGTCTTTTTCTCTGGACCGCGCTAGACATTTGCAAACAAGCAGTTTTACATTTGTCAGCTACACCATGGTCACCGGAATCTTCATAAAACCATTTGTTCCGCTCTTGGTCGATCCGGTTTGGAGAAAACTCCCTTTGGATACTTTGCAATTAAACTGACCTGTGTTTCGCTGTCGGAATAAGATGGTTAAATCCTTCGCGTGTATCCTGAGTTGATGTGTTCATTCAGGCGTTAGTGGCCCGGTGGTAACGTCACCAAATTGTCAGTTCGGAGGGTGTGTTCAATTCCCACCGACACTGCCTGACTTTCCCCACCGTGTTGTATGGCAGCCCTTTGATTGGCAGCTTCACCCCTCCTGAAAATTATCCTCATGTATTCCGTAAAAAGAAGCAGAAGTGAAAAAGGTGTTTCTTCATCGCCCATGAAGTCCATTTCGCAAGAGCTAACAACTGTGACTTTTCAGGACCAGCGAAAAGTCAACACAAAACGGCCGATTCACCCCATCAAGGACACCAACAGTTCCGGAAGGTGTGGACGGGCTTCTGAGTATGATCACACTGCCATTTGACCCAGTTTTCTTGAGCAAAAGTGTGAATAAACCGCAGCTGAAAACTCTACTCAGCAGTGTGTTTTCGTCTTAGTGAATCACCTGGTGTACACTAACTATACAATTTTATGATTGATTTGCGAAACCGTCACTTTGATTTGAGAAAGGAACGCCGTGGTTGGATTCCCTTCGTTCAACGCACCTCAATGGTGAATTGATTAGACGTTTTTTCTACCCCCGGATTGACAACTTGGCTTCACACTCTCTTTCTGTGTTGAAATGACACAGACCTCAATCTTGCATGATGTCGAGCTCGCTGACGGATGTTGATTCGGTGAAGCCGTGCGATTTGCGCGAGATAACGAAGTTAGACCCGAGTCGATAAGCCCGTAGAGTGATACACTGAAGACCTGGAGCAGTACGATCAAGGTGGATTTGGAAT